AGGAGTAAGAAATACCTTATTGTTATGGTAACTATTTTTATGTCCTTCCTGCTGGAGGTATCCATAGACAAAAACAGTTTTGAAATTGCTTTGTTTTACATCCTCTGCAAGTTCTTCAGTTGACAATGGTGCCAATCACTGCTTACATTTTATCTGGAATTGCATTGAATAACTGTGAAATCAGTTTCAAATTGCAGTTTACAATTTTAAAACTAAAAGCATACAAAGCTATGAGCTATTCAAAGATTGTTTCTTTAGCTATAATAAGGGGTGACAAAGATTTTTACAGAGAAGCAAAATGCCAGATTTTGTACCAGAACACAGGAGTTCTGGAACCTGTTAGGGACATTTATGAAATTGCATAAAACACACATTGCACTTTAACTTAATATTTTAGGAAATTAAACTTTGATACAATTAAATATAGAATTCACTTTAGTATTTGAAAATCATTATCCCAGAAACAAGTTATATGTAGAAAATGCATATAGGAAAAAATGCCTTATTAAAAAATACAATTATTGACTGAAAGATTGCTGGAGGTAGTCAATATTATCTCAAACACATCTAAATCTATATTCCCAAATTCTGCATTCTATAAAGGGCAAGACACAATTACATAAAAATCCACTTATCTAACACTCAAACTGTTGTAAGCTAAATATGATATTTTATGCACATTGACAATGGGTGGGCACAATGATCATCACATTTTCACTCAAGAGCTTTATTTCATAAAATTACAGTGTTCATATCCACACATTTATTACCAACTCTGGTTAATGTAAATCTAAATACAAAATAGAGTAATATATATGTATATATTTCTATGTTATGTTGTACAGATACCAAACTTAGCTCCAAAACAGCAGCAACACCAGTCTGCAATATACAAACAAACAGCTAGGAAAATGACAGGTGGGTGAAGCAGGAAGAAAACCAGCTGTAGCAGAATGCTCCTTATCCAAATGACTTCTCAGAAAAACTTCCCCTCTGTATATACACGTATTAGCATCAAAGTAAACATAAATATTAGGTTTCTCCTTCTGCTACAGCGTAAGACATAAGCACAACATTATAAAATTGTTTCTTCATTAATTAACGGTCATTCATCATAGAAATTTTATAAAAACAACACTTCTTTATATTGTGATTAATGTATAGATCACAATGTAGTAATAAATTTATCATTGCTTACATTAATGAGTGTCAGTATCATTTATTTTTTGTAAAAAAGTACTATTCTTGTTTCAAAAATTCGTACAAACTTTTAACATACAGCAAGATACTTTATATTATTCAAAGGCACCTGGTAGTTTGATAAAGAGAGGCTGCACGCTAATAAGTTCTTTTCTCCATATAATACTGCAGTAACAAAAAGAAAACATTTAAGTAAGCCAACTGTAAAATTACAAAATATTTAAACAAATGCAAATCCAAACTTGTAACACACATAAAATTATTTATTATTATTATTATTATTAATCTGTCCACGAAGAAAACATCTGAAGGCACAGTTCATGCAGAAGATTCTTATCATATCACACAGGTTTTACCACTACGATTTATTAAGGGACTCCAGTCTATCGTGAGTTGGTCTTGAAAACTGAGGTCAGCAGGCTAGCTGCTTCATCCCAGAAAATTAACCATAAATCCTTCAATGGCTCAGGCTGTAAAATATGAAGTTGGCAGCTTATCTGCTTCTTTCTGGGAACCCAACAATTAATCACTAGATGGCTCAGATTAATTCAGTTGTTGACAAGATTGTAGTTATAAAATTACATGAAATAAAATGATGAACAAAGAGAATTTTTATACAATACTTTTAAAAGCATGAGTCTAGAAGGAAATGTAAAAGAAAATGTCCTTAAAGTGTAGCATCTTCCAACGCAACAAATTACAGAATAGGCCTAGCAATGAACATTCATGCAGCAAGATTACTCTTAAACAAAAGAAAACCCCCAAAAATATATGTACTAAACAAAGAAACAATTATAAAATTGATAGTCAATTAGCACCAAGCCCAAAATAATGATACATCTCTTTGCTTTTCAATGTAGAATGTCAAGAAGTATACTCGATATTGCAACAAAATTGTTAAAAGTTATGGCCCTAGAAATGACAGCTGTATAGTCTTCTGCCTCCAGACCATGAAGCAAGAATTCAATACTGTAGGTGATTTCAGGAAAATGACAGCTGTATACAGTCTTCTGCCTCCAGAATTCAATACTGTAGGTGATTTCAGGAATCTGTGTTCAGTGGCCATCTTGAACACAACTACCTCTTTATGACAAAACAATAAATTCCAAATTTTACAGAAGATAAATTTTGAAGCCCTATTCTGATTAGCTGAGCGAAGATGAAAAAAATAATGGGAATTTCATGCACAATAATGCTATGGACCGCACATTTAATAATTATACAAATGTGTTAGATAAAGTTTCTGGCGAATGAGGAATAAGTCAAGGATTGTGGCCTACCCAATCACCTGACTTCAATTCCTGTGACTTATTTATGGGGTACACAAAAAAATCAAATTTATGTGAATAACTGTTAACTCACTACAAGAAGTGAAAGAGAATAGTCGGCAGGAAATCTCCATTATTCCACGACAACTTTGCTGCATGTGTAAAAACATTTTTTTAAGATGTGAGGCCTGCACAGAAGCAGAGGGTCAGCACTTCAAGAATCTACTATGACCTAAGGTAAGTCATACTGTAGGGGGAATACGGACAACACAATCGGCTTCTGCAGCTCTGCTATGTGGAAAGCTTGTCGTCACACTTTACGAGGCCTGGACTCACGATAAACTAGAGACCCTGTATTACGACTTCAAAAGATAGTTTAAATTATGATTGCAATCACATGGTGGTGTTTTGAATAATGTATGTACTGGAACGGCCATCTGAAGTTTCTCTAGGGGTACAATGGATTTGAACATGAGACTGAGGAAATTTTACATTAAGGACCACTGAAACTGAACCTTACACAGAGGTTCCACTGTAATACTACACAGCTGTCAAATGTGACTTCATTACTGTGCACTACACATTTCAACACTAAGTACACAACTGTCAAGTGAATTTCTTAACTATGTAGTTACGTCGTCTTTTTCCGTCACACACACTGCCACGTATGCAGATACTACATTGTGTAACCTTTGTGGTTAAATCAGTCAGTATTCTTTTCATAAAACATACACCACAATGAAAATCACTATGCATTTGTCCATAAATTTTGTCCTATTAAAGAATTATCAGTTTTATGCATCTATGATGTATTCGCATTAATGTACCTGTTTACTCCACAATGAACATAGAGTAAACAGCAAAAACAAAATTTGAGTCAGTGATGACAACTGTACTGTATAACATACACTATCAAACTGAACTACTGTACCATTTTAACATAACCTTTGTTCCAATATGTGACTAAATTTGAAGGTCAACATTTTATCCAGTACCATTTTAAATTTATATGGCTTAGTATTGCACATTATGAACAGGATAACAAACAAATAATCCTAAAACAAATCACAGCATGTCTCCAAGCTTGCAAATCTGGTATACATGATTCCCTTCAAAGGGATTCCATTGTAGGATATTCAAGTATGGACTTTTTTTACCATAAAATTCATAAGCTTGTTAACCCTATACATGAAAAGGAATAGATCAAAATAAACCTCCTACAACTGTAATGAATCAATCATCCAGAAAAAATAATGCCTTTGTTTGCTCAGTCTCTGTTAAGTTTCCAACATTCACATTTCTATTGAGAGAGATTACAGCTAAAGTCAGTGTTCCCACATAACAACATTCTATATTACCAAAACGTAATGATTCACTCATAGGCTTTCCCTCCCTCTGTGTTGACGTTGTAGAAATTTGTAAACATCAACATCTTTTGTAACATGAACACATATTTTGTCTTAAATGTGGATGCAAGTAGAAAACTAAACAGACTTTACCAGTTCTGCGGAGTTGTAACATACACATTTATAAGCGAATGACAAAACATACCTGTGTCTACCACTGCTCTTACCCAGTTCTGAATTTTTAGAGAGAGAGAAATGAACAGGTCAGGAATATGTTTCCTCAGACAGACAGTAGAATACAAATGACAATCATGAATGCAAAGGGCTTACAGAACATGAACAAATATCAACATACAAATAAACAAACATTTCAAAAGAATATCTGATATCCAGATCCCCAAGCCGCTCTATCGATTATAAGCAAAACAACAGATGATGCAGAGAAATACACAAAAAAAACTTTTTCAACCTGTGCATCTTGAACAGACCGAGATATTGGCATCGATTAAAACTTTGAACTTTTCACTCATTTTAATACCCTGCCCTTAGAAAGCGCAATTCCACTAAAATAACAATTCACACAATATGAATGAAATAACAAAAGTCTTTGAATTTTATCTCAAAAATTGTTCATATAAATGAAAAGTGCACAGCAATCTGATCACAATGAGTGTTACAAAATTTTGTGAAATATTTTTCAATTATGTGAACAATGAATGAAGTCTTGAAACAACTGATTTTCTCTTTCAGTTATGACTGGCTGCTATGATTAAAAATCAAACATGTTTCTTAGGTCAAAGTGATAGTCCAATAAATGTAAAGTTAACTTTGTTCCATGCTATTTAGCTCCACACAGTTAACACAGACAGGGGGAGGCTGGACGTATCTGCACACAGGATATCCTTGCCCTGTGAGTCACTTTACGAAGGTCTTCAGCTCATGATCTGCTGAAGGTCAAAATTAAATGCCATGAATAAAATATAGAAACAGGTGAAACATCCTATTAAACAAAATATCAAAGTGAATCAGCACCGTTGTTTTAAAAATGCTTCTTTACATATTTCAACTTCGATATTATGATACATGTGAACTGAGCATTTTTAAGTTCTGTAGAAGAACTTGTTGAAGTCTGTTGCTTTGATAGTCAACCTCTGTACAAACACCACTGGATATACACACAGTAATATTTAATAATAATAATAATATATATTAATACCATACATGGTATAACAAACACATTAAAATTTGAATTTTTAGTCACAAATGTCTGTGATTTCAAAACACTAATATAATAAATCCTAATCATGTGTTTCAAAGAACAATAAATTACACTACTTCCTTACCACAGTGTAATACTGTAGTTAAATTACTTCAAAATGTTAAAGGTCATATGCACCAACAACCTTCTGGAAGAACACGTAAGTGCAGTCCACTTCATACTGCATGCAGACACATGTCAACAAATTTTATGAGCCCAAAAAATACATCTCTGTTTTAGCACTATGAATTAATTAACAACTAACTGTTTAGCTTTCCAATAGATTTTAGTCCCATTTTAACAACATTTACAATTAACATGAATGCACTGGTGCACATATGCACACTATTCAACAGAAATGAATCCAGTAACCTGATTGTGAATTAGTGTCTTCTGAAGCTTCAGTGTTCAACAAGAACGTACAAATAACAAGAAGAAATTCCTTGAGATGTAACAGTAACTGCAGGTTCTAAGTAATTTAATTTTCTTAGTCCACTGAAATAGTGTTTAAGGAAAGTTTCATGCTTACATTCAGTTCAATATACTGTGCCCCGAAAACAAAATAGAAACACGTGTACTGTAAGTGAAAATAGGAAGAACACAGATTTCAGAAAAAAGATTATGTATGTGATAAGGAATCTCATTATTTTTATATAAAAATGTCACAGGCTGTGACAAGTTTCAAGCACATAACATAGTTCACCACTTGATTCATACAGCCTCATTTTTGCAATGAAATGAAAACCAAATCCACACATATTTTACACCATAAAGTAACATCACTTACAAATGTTACTAAACTTTGAGACAGCAGTAGGTACAAAGTCCAAAGTGACTATGCAGGTGGAGCACGGCATGGCACACTACGTATTGGTATGAGAACACAGCATACCCAGTGTCACGTACACAAGAAGACAGCGATACTTTCGTGACTGACGAAATTCTTAAGTAAAAAACACACTCAAGTTAATGATAAAAATGTTTTAGAAAACACACATACACTATCCAGTATGCGCTATGCAGTTTTTTACAGACTGATACGGTAAGAATAATTTGAACACAATGTGTAAGAAGTACAGCCATCACTTCAATGGGTAATGAAAATGAGACACTTGAACAGAATGAAAACAAACATGCATGTTATTCCTGAAGATTGTTGGTGTGTATATTCTTAAAATAATCATATGACTTCATTTTCTGTAATTGTGCTTACAAATGTTTGGCACTGCAACAATTAAGTTACCAAAATAAGGCTGTGTGGTCAAAGAAAAAAGCACAGAACTTCCAAATATTCCTATCATAATGGCAAGACTATGTTACATGGCAAGTGTCGGTAACTTACAAAGTATTACCGCGGCCCTTGGCAACATACTGTGATAACCTCAAAGATGTACCAAGTAACAGCTGATGTGTAGGAGCTGCCTGCTGCATGAAATCATAGTGAAAAGTCTTAAGAAGACAGAAATATGCAACACTTAAAAATACAGTAATTCAAGAAGTGTCAACAGTAATCATGTTGCAATTTCCTAAAACTAAACTATGTCTGGAAAACAAGCAACAAAATCAACTTCAAAATATTTTCATTCGCTTAAAAATAATGTGATAAAGCAGAATTTAAGTGCACTATTGAACTTATCTGAACGTAGATTTCTAACTGCAAAATCATTCAGTGCAGCATGAAGCTACAAGGGTCAGGCGACAATTCACAGCTTAAAGACGCGTGTTCATTTATGAAAAGGAAACACATACATTAGAACCAGACCTCAAAAATTACTGTGCATATCCACTTCAATTTAAAATATCCTTTAACACAGGAAGATAATGTTATGGTCTAAATAAACAGAAAACTGATAAAATTAAGGATACTTGTACAGCGGTATAGATATGTTTTTTGTGTGGATGGCAATAAGTTGTCTTCAAGAGCATGAAAAATAAAGACAGTCAATAAATGACCACCACAGACATCAAATGAAAGAACATATGCAAAACAGAGGACGGAGATATTGGAGAAGCACTGAAGGGAGTTGGGTCACCTTATACTGAAGCCATGGATGATTCACTTTTGATAAATGCTGTGCTCAGAGGAACAAGAAAATAAAGAATCAGAGAAGCTGCAATTCCAACAGCAAAGTTTCTCAAAATGGACAGAGTCACAAATGGCATGGCCAAGGTTTAAATGGTTTCTGTGTACACTACAAGCATTTTTCACATTAAAATCTTCAAATGCAATAGACTGCCCACATTCAGCTTGTTTCTTATTAAGTAACCTGAAAGGTACCCAGTATAAAACAAGTACACAATACAAAATAATACAACCTGTGTTTGAACATTTTTCAGTCTCATACATAGTGAGACAGTTTACGTGTAAAAGGTAAAGTAATAGACCACTTTAACAATCTAGACAAAAATTAAACTTTCATCATTGTGAAACTGAGAAGGACCAGCAAGTCAACTGGCCTGAAGTTCCCTTATGTAGGCAGATGAACCCAAGGCAGTACACATAAAAACACAACTGTTAACTGGAAAACAAATACATTGTGCTGCAACCAGAATTCTGAAAAATTCTACACACAGTTTTATGAAATGAAAAATAGGCTCACATATTCAACACTGATCATGCGCTAATTTTCTGGACATCCATGTTCTTTTCTGCTAGATAAGGTCCAGTTACATGTGAATTTCTACTACTAGTAGCTTTAAACATGCCAATACTTATCCATTAAAATTTATACATAACAATGAAATTACACTACGGAAGTATAATCAGCTTTTCAAAGAATTCCTGCGCCATAGGGCGAACAGTATAAATCTCTACTACAGAAAATGTACAATATAAAGTTGAAAAAACTACACCTCCCCAGTTTTGAAGAAGATAACCTCACAAGAGATAAACATCAACAATTTCAACCAACACCTCAAAGTTTTAACAAAGGCACTTATTGTCTTATATATAAGATGAAATTTAAAAAATTGGCAAAATAATAACTTCGTATCAGCGTAAATAAAAAAGTCAAATGTGCACATACCTCCAACATATTTTATTGATACGAATATAAGCCACACATTTTTTCTAAATCTGTACTCCTAGAAGTAGGGTGCAACTTACAATCGGAATACTTTTTGTGGTGAGACAATCAGTCTACATCAAGGCTGATTACAAAATGCTAATTATGGTTTTTGAAAGAGAATCACTGCAAATATTTAATTTATAGTAAATATACACAATGGTTTCACAGAAGAGTGGATGAATGAAACTGCTTGAAATAAAGAGGGGTAAAATGTCTGTGTTAAAGATCACATTACAGTCGAAGCTTTGACAGTGGATCAAGTTGCGTCTCCTAACAACAGCTGGCAAAGGTGGTGCAGGGATTAAAATTTTTACACAAAAACTTGCTTTTAGTAGTAGCCAGTTACTGCAATACATGAAATCTGTGTGGGTGAACCATGTCATCACTTGAGTGAGGTGGGGATGTAAGATCATCATACTCTGAAGGTCTGAAAATCTTCGGCCTAACAAACAGGAGCAAGACTCTGGTGATTTGTTGCATGAACCAGTACTATACTGACGAGTAACAGCAGAAACTGAAACATACTCTCTGTCTTTCTCATTTTAACAGTTGTCACCAACACACGTTTCATGAATCCATTCAACCAGTAATCAGGATTTGGCACTGGATGTGTGAACATTATGTGACCTAAACCTAGACAACACCGTTAATGAAAAGGGAAACCTTCAGAAATAATGAACATGCCAACTCCATTAATTACAACTGAGAGTCCAGATATTAGGATCATATAAAATTTTGTTCACAATTTGCAATAAAAGAATAGGATACTCAACAAAAGCACACTTGACTTATTACTGCGACAGCTATGTAGAACAGCTGTAGTAGGAACATGAAACTTGCAATGGTAGGTAAACTATTTCACTGCTTGGGTGGGTGAGAGGGATGTAAAGATCGCAATTTCAAAAACATTTTACTAAACCTAACAAACGCGATCAGTAGTCATATGAACCCATAAATACATGCTTTTGCCTTTCCTTCGGTCTCCCTTATTTTAATGTCACCTGATACTGCATTTTTGAGAGCCCAGCAGACAATTTGTGTCAGTTTTTATGTACTTAAATCTTAGAATTCTGGTGTGGCTTATATTTGTACAAATATATCTCTTCCAACTCTGCCATAACCTGCTGCAATCTTTTAAATACACACAATACAACCTCCAGTTTTAAAAAATAAGTTAAGGCAAGGCACATGGTCATTATTAAAGTTAGTAACTACAGCAGATAAATTGTGTTCAGAAACCACAAGAGAGACTGGAAAGGAACAATACGTTCTCCAGTTCAATGGTTTTGATTCTGAGAAAAGTTTTTCACACTGACAGACAGAGACAAACAACCTACTGCTGGTTAGTAGTATCCATTCCACTTCAGTGCTTCTTGTACAGCTGATATTTTCTCAATGTTTCTTCACCACAAACAAAATATGTAATATGTGGCCATGGTATGTTTCGGTCATGCGGACGTAATACTTTAATTTGTAACTCTCAATATGTATCCTTTTGTTCCATGCAAATCTTAGTTACAGATAAACTTGGTCAAATGGACACTGAAAGAAAAAACATGCTGCAGTATGCACCAACAAAGATGCAAGAATTAAACATGTAAATGAGGAGGATTATTTGTACTGACTAAAAATGGATGAAAAATCAGGTAGAGAAAATTTCAAAGAAGTTCTTAATTTTATAATTTAAAAGATATAAAAGACTGACCATCACTGGCCTGTGATTAGCAAAAAGGAGTTATTCCTGTGTATATCACAAAATGTGAACGGTACAGTATTTACCAGACTACAAGGCAACCCTCCTTCCTACTAGAAAAATTTTAAGGAAACAATTTTATTACTTCTTCAAACTTAATTCTTAGTTGAAATTCTCCTACAGAACTTAGTGATGTTTATTTTCCATCAGTTTATACTGGTCAATTTTTGGTCAAGAGAATGTTTTCTTGGCGAAACATGCATCGCTGCACACAGGCCTCAGAAGTACCATTTATTCTCAATGTTGCATGAATTATTAATCTCTTCAATTTATGTGATAACCATTAATTCCAAATTCCCATCGCATTTTATGAGGATGAGAGCACGTGTCCCTCTTGTATGATGTATTAAACAGAGGCACAATCATCACAAACACTTTCATAAAACCGCAAATCTTAATACAAATAACGTGAACAAGTATGAATATTCAATATCAGCATTAATACCCTGTACATATCTGAATAGTCTCTACGGAGGGTAGCCCAGTGTCTGGTGACTGCGATGTAGCTTGAAACTCATGTATCTACATGACTGAATATTTCCAAAGCTGATGTTCTGCTCTCCCTTCAGTTAAGCTGAAGCAAAGATACTGGACATATTGAGCTACTAGCTATAATGTGATATCTATGAAAATAGACTAAATGTGGGCATAACAGAAATGGTAATGAAAAGCCAATGAATACTGCCTTCAGAATATTTTCAAATTGATACTATAGTTATAGGCATGTTTTTAGGTATGGCACAGTTGCCAGTTTTATCAAAAACTGTTTAGTCAAATATTTTTTTTGAGCATGTTTCTTCATTTGGACACTCAAGAATAAGAATAAAGAGAAAATAACACTTTGTCTTATAGTCAGGTAAATAAAGTACACACTGCAGGAGAATACAATCTCAGCTTCAGCATTAGGTGGTCTGTTTCCTACCAAGAGATTCAGACATGGTGGTGAAGACAGAAGATGCCAAAATCCTGTCACTTCATTCATGGCCCTCTCACATCTTTCTAAAATTCTTTATACATTACAATGACCTTCGGCCAAAGACAGGACACACTATGGAAGACACATGGACAGGTAGTAACAATATGTTAGACCAAGTTATTGCTTAAAGAATCAATACTGTATCTAAAAATATAAATATAAAAAAGGAACCCAAATAGTTGTTCGTGTTTCAGTCTTCTTTGGTCTGGTACCTATCAGCAATGTGGTGTAGCATGTACTCCAGTGCCGAGGAGGTGGTAGCGGCAAACAGCTGGCGCCACATGTACTCGTGCAGAAGGATATTGCCCTTGGGCTTCTGTAATTCTTGAACTTCCTCACACACCTCCACCGCTGACTGCCAGATAGTATCTGCGCACCAGAAAACAAGATGGCTCAATGACACAAACAGATGCAATAACTCAGCTGAGTCTGCCTTGAAAAGTTCATTCAGAATGACATGGGAGAGGGGACGACAGAGAGGCTGAGCACACCACAGTAAGTAGGGCAGGATGTGGCTGCATGTTGCTTTAAATTCCATTTCAACTCATACATTGTCATGACAAAAGACTTGGACATAAACCCAAATAAAAACATGGCAGACTACTGCACTCCATTATTGCATGCATGGCTAATTTTGGCCATTAAACTCAGCGAATGCAGAACTAAGAGCAAGTTACCAGTAAGGGTAGCAATGATCCATGTACAGTCACTTCAAACAAAGATTAGCCACAGCACAGACATGGCAGTAGCTATGCTGCATGGAGAAAATCATTTCAAGGAAAAACCACAGTTTCTATATCTACATAGTGAATAGAATTTCAACTTGAAGATTGGTCATGCCACTTTAATTATGCATCTTCCAATAATATGTTTACACTTAATGAACCTCCATTTTCACTATTGCCATGATGTCACTGCTACTGTCATTGCTGTCAGTGACATTATCTTGATCATTCATTCAATTCTGTCCCCTTGTTCACACAAACTTCTCCAACGTTCTACTCCTGTTTGTGTGAATTTATGATTATACAGTTTTTTCCATGGCACATAACAGATTTTAATAAAATGACCTCTGCCATAATAAGTTCTTGAAAGCCACAGCAGATGGTGCTAATGTTCAGAGGAGTATTTGTAGAACCACAGAGTGAAACAGATGGCAGAATTTTAGTGTTACAAGATTGTGGAGAGCTCTTGTTCACTCTGTGTGTGTGTATTAAGGTTATGCAACACATGGCTGCTCTTTGCTTCTTGTATTTATGAAAGATGGCAAGAAGGAAAGTGTGTGATGATGATGAAATAGTGTCTATCCTAGACATGAGAAATGGAATAATATCAGGCATTATTAGCAATAGTGATAGTAATAGTGAAATAAGCAATGCTGGTGCCAGTGACAGTGAAAGTGGTTCATGTGACAATGGCAGTGTAACAGGGTAACATGAGTAAGTGAGTGGCTTCGGGTTACTGATTCAGACCCTGGACCAAGCACAGTAATTCTGGTAACAAAAAGAAAATGCAGAATGTGCCCCCCATGAAAAGATCTAGAATCACAGACTGATCACCTCCAACCCCATCTGATACAAAAACACTGCTTGTATTCAGTATCACATTGAAGACAGTCACTGTAGCACACTGTTAAGCACTGCGATTATATGCACAGTTAAGGTAAAAAGCTATCCCAATGCATGCCAATGTTGGCACTTAGGGGAGAGGAGGTACAGCTCCTACTCATTCTCAACCTCGACACTAGATGGGGGTGAGTGGTTAGTAGCACACCCTGGCTGTGCTTTGCTGTGGGGATGGACTCCAGTACCCATGGACAGGAGGCTGGGTGGGCCCCAGAGCCAGTCTGGACACAAGAGGCTAGAAGAAAGTCCTCTACCCGTGTTGCGGATTGAACCCTGATCATTCAGCCTGTAGCCAGTCACTATAATGACTGAGCTACCCAGCTCCTGCACAGTTATGGTAGTACAGATAAAATGATGAAAAAGACCAAGTTCACTACTCAAGGATGAGAAATAAATATACAGGAAATGTGCATAAATAATAAATTAGAGTAACTCACAGATGAACAGAAATGTAAATAGTTTTTTTTCAGATACAGCAATTTAGTGGATGTAGATAAAGAACATAGTCATGCACATTATGGAATAAGGGTACCGCATACCACTATATATTTCTCTCACATCAGTTCGTGCTTAGACAGCAACATGACCAGTTTCAGGTATGGTACATCAGAATATTACACAGGTAATTATATCATACTTTCATTCTAAGATTCAACTTTAATGGAGGTTTCTCATTCACATTGTAATTTTTAAAGAAATACACTGATTTTTAACTGCATATCCACTTCCAACATGGATATGTTTTTCTTGAGTAAACATGAATCAACATGAGATAACCAGACCATTACACTGACAACTCACTGCACCCTTAACAATGTAGATTTTAAATACAAGAACTTTATTTCAATTCAGTCTTAGAATGACTTTCACTTTACAGGATATAAACAATCTTAAAAATAAAATAAAGGTTTTCAAGTTAATTAATATGTACCATACACGATATGATTGTAATGTGACTTTTATAACAGCATTGTACTAGACACAGCTTTATAATACTTTTAATATGCAAAATGAATACTACTGACTTCTTGCAACAATTTTTTAACAAATGAAATACTAAATTAATAACCTTATTTGAATAATACATATTACAATGGCATGCAAACTAATGTAAAAATATGTTGTACTGTAATTTCACAATGAAAACTGACGGCATGTGGATTATATTACTGAACACTTATTAGGTAAACAATACATGCATATAGTACGATCACAGACACAATGGACATATTAAAAATAGTTCACAACAAGAGACACAGAGACACTATTGAAAAATACCATATACAACAAACATTCAAACAAAACATCTGCTTAAACGACAATAATATTTATCTTAATAACTCGATCTTTAATTCCCTTCAAACACTTAACCCCACCCCCAACAACCTACTTTCACTTACCCCACCTACAAACAACCACAATCAATAACGAACCTATTCAGTTCCAACACAACATTACTTCTAGACGGACCTCCTCCAATCTTCATATCTGGTATGTTTTTAAAATTAAAATTCCTCAATATATTATTTTGTTTTCTATCTCTAATATTCATTTAGTCTTTATAACAATTAATATTTAATTTACAGACCGATTATAAAAAACCACTACAAGTATTTCACCCATGCAAGATCACGCTATACGCGACATACATTTACGAAACAACATTGAATGTGATAACAAAGTACAATTGATCTAGAAGAGGATAACTTTCCGATATTTAATGGACATCTGACGAAGGATTGCATTTAGAATATTACATTTAAATTTATATCGATTATACACCTGAAGATGGTTCATTGAAAACCGAAACATGTCGTCAATATGACGCAACAATATCATCTCAATACTTTCTTACCTACAAAAGATTAAGTAATGTCATGCTCCACCCTCTTTCCAGCCACAACGTAAATTCAGATCACCCAGCACTCACCTAGGTTCTCCTGTATGCGTCTAGTGCCTGGAAGATCTAGTTCCATAAGTGTTTCTACACTGATCACACTTGGGTAACCAGGTAGTTCCTTCACCACATCAAAAGAGCAACATATAGCCCTGTCATTGGCAACCAACGTTGAACCTGGACGTACTTGTCGCTGTACATACTTCAGTGCTTCCTCCACTACACCAGGTTTAGGACTGCCAGACTGGTCCTTCAATGACAGATGTTCTTGTTAGAAAACAAGTGGCAGAAGAACACAACACGCAACATAACCTGTCCAAATGTTTACATATACCTCAAAATTAAATTATTATATTCCATTCCAGATTAATTTCATTGATATTTCATGTTTTCTACTTTCATAAACCAGCAAAACCAGCTCATACAATATAAGTGTTGACAGCATCAGCCTACAGTAAATTTAAATGTAATTTAATTATAAATCACCCAACTCTCTGTTTTTAAGGGCAACATGCCTTCAAGTAGTTAGCTTTGCATAAGAAATACACTATCATTAAATACTCTATTAATCAACCATCCATAAACTTGTAAAAATACCATATTTATCCACATACCATATGCAAGTTTTTGTATTTTACACAAAAAACTGGAAGCACGTCATATCTGATTGTTTGATTCCGGTAATACAAAGTGTTTCAAATGGAAATATACAAGACCTGTAAACATGATAACATTGTATGTATAAGCTGTATCAGCTGTCAGGTGAACCAAGAAGCTTTACCTTCAAAACTTTCCCCTTTATTGCAGGTGGAAGCAGTAGGTACTGTAAACTGCTGTGAATCATTCCCACTCAGTCCTTGCTATATATATAGCATGCACTGTACTATTTCCTCATTTGCAACTGGTTTTCATTGCTGTTAGGGTCAACAGTAATTATTCATATCAGTCTACGTTACACCTACACACCACAAGAAATGATTTTGAACCGACTTGTTATGGCTCTGTTTATGCAACAGGACGCACAGACAGTTATCCATTAGTCTGAAAAGTTTGCCATGCAATGGCGCTCCACTGTTACATGTTGCTGGACACTGCTCATACAGATCCTGAACAGAGGATGCACAATGTGTCATACTAAATCTCTCCCTGTCTACCTCATAAACAGAAAATAGTCTTTTCAGAGGTACAATAAAATCATTTTTCATGTTTAAATGAGAGGCAGCTGTTTGGTTATACAGAGTGAAATGAAACGTGCCAATTGAAAGCACTGCAGGAGTACTGTAATTTAAAGATATCTGGCCCCATCTGTGTGAGACCTAACAAGCCCCAAGTTAGACAGAAGAAATTGGCAGTGCTTTATTTGAACTTCAAAAATCAGAGAATGCAGTCTCAAGGTATAGGTTTCCTAACTTATTTGGTCTTTAGTATCTGCCAATTGCAACAAAATAATTAGTTTTTCTTGGAAATGCTATGAAAACAGGGATATGCCTTACTTGGGGGGCACATGGTATTTGGATAAATATACTGTGAACAACAAGTGTATGGAAGTCTTCCTTGTCATATTATAACCATTTCTGATCTATTATTGTTCATTACGCAGCAATAGCTAACATATGATATCACATGCTTGTGCAAAATGGAAAAGTGTTACACACACTAGAAAATGTCTCCACCAGCATGAGCTGCCCTTGCAACTTCATGCCATAGTTTATTTCTACTTACACCTCGCTCCTATAAAGACCACAAAGGTAATGAACAGCCCATGTGGAGGATTAATGTAGACTTACAACAAAATGAAAAAAGTGATAGAGGCAATGGGCAGAATAAATTAAAACAAGTATGTTCAAGAAATGTTATACCACAAAAATACTCCTAGTTACAAAACAATGTATTAATTTAAGGACTTCATGTTATTACAAAAGTAAACAAAACTGGAAAATATGGTATGGATAAGATAATTCTATGTTAATACGAACAACATGGAAGAGAAAGAGACACAAAACCTGGATGATTCTCGCCCAGATACGTGCTGGCATGCAACTAGTGTCAGCAATACATAATATCTTTTTCTGTGTTTTCTTCTTGACTCCATCTTTATCAGGAGGCGTAGAGGTCATGTACCCATCCGGGTACACATCAATAACAACCACAGCCCCATCTCCTCCCAGCAGCCAGTCGTGGTAGTGATCCAACACGTATCTGCTTGCTACGTCCCCACACTGCTCATACACTTTCTTCACTATGTGCGTCTTCAGGCCTGCAACAATACTGCGTTTTAAACCAGTGACTTGAGGGGAACTTGACACGCATCTACTTCCTAACATGATGTATGGGAAAGTATGATGAGTGTTAATGGGTTTGAGTAGTATACTTTCTTAAACAAAAAATATGATTCTCAAGATGTTCCCACATCACAAAATTCATAAACATACTTGGATTTTTCCTGATGGAAGGGCAATCAGATTGATCTCACCATGATAGACAATTAAGAACAGGTCATTTCCAACTAAAACAGTTTTGACTAACACAATTTCATTTTAACATGCTTTTAAAACTGGGGTTCATTCCTGATGAACATACTAAGTTGAACACAATTTCTGCACAATGGCAGTGCATTCTACTTTAAGTTCTGAAAGGATGGGATGACTGTACCACGGCACGTGCATGTTTGCAATCTCACAGTCTGTCATCTGGTTGACTGAGTTCTATTCACCTTATATGTAAAATAATAATGAGTGGTAAGAGTCAGAAGTATGCTGCTATGATTTATTTGTCGCCAAAGTATGAAATGTAGAAAAGTTATAACATTAAAGCAGAGACTTAATATGCTTAAGTGGTATCAGAACAATGACAAACATGATATCGTCTGTGTTATCAGCTTAAATGAAGGAATTCTTCACACCATCCACGCAAATGCTGACAAAATTAGAACATATTATGCTCATGCTACTCCTTTAGCAGTGAGGTGGTGATCACAGGCAAACCTCCAATCATACAGAGGATGGAAAGCTTGCTTGTGAGTGACTTAGTCTTAAAACCACATAAAAAGAAATTAATGTGAAAACAAAATGGACATACAGGCAGAAGTTTTAAGTATTTTTCATGAATTAAAGAAAGACCTCCTCATGAAGCCAAACTAGAATTCATGCCAATTACTGCCTGGCCCAACAAGTTTAGAAATCAGCAGCAACTTCATCACTGGAGAATTGGCTAATTCAGATGCTTTGGCCACAGAACAGTTTCCTGGAATATTAGAAACAAATGTTAAAGGTGGTTACACGTCTTCAATACAGACGAGAATGGCTTGTTTTAGAAGAGGATGCCTATGAGAACATACATCTCCATGGAGGAGCACACAGCTCCAGGTGTCACAGTGGCAAATGTGATAGTACTGTTGGGTGGCAACACTAACAGAGATTACTAGCTGAAGTCTGACATTATCTGTTATGCTAAGAATCTTACAGCACTGAGGGGATTTCTCAGATCCTCAGACTACAGAGATGGGTTGGATGTCAGGTCTGACATTCATGTATGGTTCAATGATCAACTGCACTGTGAATTAAAAGCATGCCACAAGACATAAATACGAGCTTCAAGTGTGTTCTTGTATTGGATAACGCTCCTGGACATACTCCTGTGACTCAGACACTACTGAAACATAAAATACATCTTTCATCTTTTTGGCCCCTAACACTACACAATTTCTTCACCCAATTGGTCATTCCATATCAAGTCAACATACTTGAAATGCAAGATTTTCATGACATTCTCTGATGCTAATAAAATTTTGCAAGGTTGTTGGGTCTCCTTAGAAAGTGAAATAATATGAAATAGTACCTCCCTGTTATCGTTAATTGAAGCCTTCCATCAAATGATGCTGTAAGGCTCTTTTACATTTCTGCAGAAATGAAAAAATTATCCTGAGATATAAGAAGTTCCTTCAAAATTCCAGGAGCTGCAGCTACAGCAGTTACAAAACTATGAGACATGGAACAGTAATTTAATGTAATTAATTATGACATTACAAGCAAAATATATTGTGGTCCACTGCAAAAAATTTGTATAGCTGATAGCTACTAACACTGTGTAGTATGTCTTTTGTAAACCATAAAGAAACAAAATAAAAGTTTAGTAGGAGGATGTAACAATTATTTATTGCCATAATAAAGAATTAAAAGATTCAAGTTGTGGATCATGCAAAGGGCTGATCAATTAGGAAAATCCAACAAGAGTTCAAAACCCCATATTCCATGGTTCAGAATTCCAAGAAATGAGGCTAAGAAAGTAATTATGTCAACCCCAAAAACAGGCAAAGTGCTGCCTCCTGCAAGAATTGAAATGGTAAAACAATTTCAAGTGTCTGATGAAGACGGCAGGACCATGCCTGGGACAAATATGCTTCTGTTAACTCAGAAGGTAAGAACATTCATCTTCAGAAATGACCCATATTATGCAACCTTGAAGATGCCTCCTTAAGTTTTAAAAAAGAGAATCCTGAAATTTTTCTAGTCTTTTCAAAATCTGCAGAGTTACAGCTAAGAGATTGTGTGTTGGCTGGAGCAAGTTGTATGCATGTAGTTTGTATTTGTGCAATTTCAAATACAAAATTGTATGATTTGACTGAAACGCAAGCAAAAACTTAAAACTGCCCAAATTATTTGTAATGTGTCACATGTAAGTTGCTACCAGGGAAACTGAGATGAGTCCAGGGACTGAAAACCTAATCAAAGAAACTAAATACAGATTTGAAAATGACGACAACAAAAACAACGTACCCTACAGAAAGTGGATGCCCACTGAGAAATAAACTCTGGAAACAATTGTGTGACCTTGCAGTGGTTTTTGCCGGTCTTTGCTGCACAGTTAAGCTTTTTGCACCGTCAGTCTTTCACAGCATTACATTGACCATGTTCCTACAAAGAAATGAAGTTGAAACTGGAGGAATTCCATTTATTTGTGATTTTTCTGAAAACTACTCCATCATACAAAATGAAGTACAAGTTTTCATTGGAACAATGATCACACACTTCTTCGATAATTTTTAAGTCTTACTAGAGGATTTTTCCTCTAGCCTCTGCGTCCAGCCCGGCTCTGGGGCCAACCCAGCCTCCTCTACAATGGGTACCGGGGTCCTTTCCCGGGGGTAAAGCCGGCTGGGGCGTGATGCTGACCACTCCCCCCCATCTAGTGCCGAGGTCAAGGAAGAGAGGAGCTATACCTCCACTCACCCCAAGCGCCTACATGGCGCATAGTGGGACAAACTTTACTTTACTTTTACTACAAAAAATACAAAGAACATAAGTTTTGTTGTTAAATCAGAATGTTTAAAACATGACACTACAGCTGTACATTTGTTTCAAAACAAACTATGCAGCTATCTTTTTGATAAATTGAAATTTTTGTCTCAGATTTACTACTTTTCTGATGGTGTTTGCCATGCAGTATAAAAACACAAATAATTTCACCAACCTCTGCTATCATACAGATGGTCTTGGTATAGACGCCAAAGTGGCACTCTTTGAAATATCACATGGCAAAGCAGCATGTGATGAGACTGGGGGTACAACTGGCTATGAAGAAAAGAATGTCTGTAAAACTGTTATGAGGAGCAGATCATGATACCAAGACAACTTTAAAAGTGGACTGCTGTAAAGATTCCCTCTTCACCATTGATTATTGTACTGTTGAAGACCACATTAAAGAAATTATGCTGGAAGAGAGGTTCAGGAACACCAAAACACTTCTGGGTACAATAAAACTGAAGAAGATTTGAGTAAGCTTGAGGAACATAATTGCCAAACTGAGCGCTGAGCATTCTTCAAGTACGAGAACCATTATGAACACATTCAAACTTTATCTATTGCAGGAAAAGAAGCAGACATTGAAACAATTAAATCTTGGCATCTTCCTTAAAAAATAAACACAAAATAAGTCAGACAAAATTTAATCTGAGACTTCAGATGAACCAGCCCCACCCATATCATATGCAAAACCCTGAAGCCTCCTGCCTTATTTCTTTGACCAACAGAATCAAGAGAAATGTCTCCTGATGCTGACAACCCTCCAGAGGTTGAGTTAATTCAATCTTTCACATCACCTCTATCTCCTCAGTGACCCCATCCCCACAGCCCTTCATTCCACCACAGTATTACCATTTTCTCTTACTTTGCTCACTGCTTCTCATTTTGTAAATGACTTCATAGCATAACATGCACATAAAGACATGTTTAACTGAAAGTCATAAGATAAACTTATAAGTGGGTCAATCAAATTTGCACTTGGAATGAAAAAACCCCATATTTGCATAATTTCATATGGGAAATTCGTGTCTGATACAATTTCACCTTACATGAGAATTTTCTGAAATGCAAACAACAGTTTTATCAAGTACTCTTCTACCAAGGTTAACTTTATGTATAGATGAAATTATTGTAAATCTGTGAATTATCAGTGTGGATTCTGACATACCTGATTAACTACTGATCAGATACTCTGTGTTCACCAGTCATTGGAGAAAAAATCACCATTAGTCCCTATACTAAGTCAGATGAATCAAATGCACACCCTCCAGCTGTATTTCAGAAGATTAATTTTAATACTGCTATTCCCTCTATGTGTAGGTCTTCCGAGTGGCCTTTTCTCTTCAAGATTTCCAACCAAAATTTTATAAATTTATCATCTCCCCATGCACACTGCATTTCTCACCCATCTCATACTCCTCACCCTGATCACCCTAATAACAGTTGGTGAAAACCACAAACAACTGACAAACAGCAGAGCATATTGTTAGCTTCTGAAAGAAGATTCTAATCTATAAAGTTAGTTGGCTAGGTAGTTATCTTAATGACTTTATCATGCAGCTTCTATAAATAACTAACAAACAACACACAAAGAACCTCGATTCTGTATACTCTGGTACCTCTTGTGCAACAGATGAATCTAGCCCACATCCTTATGCCTTATTTAAGACCCATTTATGATCAATAGTATATCATCTGTACTTACATTTCTGAAATGGTCTTTTTCCTTATGAGTTTCTAATTAATATATTGCATGTATTTCTCACTTTGCAGTTTCTATATTGCACAAATTCATACTCACTCAAATTGTTTGCTGCAACTTCCACTGGCGTTCTTTCACACCAACTTAATATTGCCTGAATGACCACTTTCAGCTCACACTTCACAGGCATGAAAAATGAGCCATCACGAATAGAAACTTTCTTAGAGCAGGCAGAACAGGACCAATTGTACTTGTCAACAACTCGGGCCTTACTCCATTCCATTTTGCCTCCCTTGCAATTTGTGTTGGAGCACTTCAGTCCTCGTCGCAGAAGCCCCATCTGTTTCAACCATTCACACAATTCTCCTTCATGTCCAGCATTTAACATAGGCCGTATCACCATGTGAAAATATTCACATTCCCTGGAAATACATAAATATAAGACAGCTTACACCAGGACTACAGGAAAATCTGAAATAATGCTTCCAGATAACATTCATCAGGAGTCATTCTTCAAAAGGGAATTTCCTTTTCTTTAGCATAAAACTGTGAATTGCAAACCACATGGTGAACAAGTGTAGTGAGAAATATTCAAATATAATTTAAGCCCTAGATTACAAAAAGTATTGTAAAACCATTATACTATACTTAGAATTGAAACTGGACAATTTGAAACATGCCCCACTTGGTGGATGGAGAATCGCATAGATGCTAGGGCACTTATCATGAAGAAACAGAGAACCTTGTTCCTACTCTCTCTCCAGCAGCTATAAATATGGGAGGCCTGAGTATGGGGTTACAGGTTGAAGTCCTGAACGTTGAAAACACAGACTTTGGTGGAAGAGGCAAGCCTCAACCTGTGGTTGACACAAATGATGTGCATCAATGACAGCTCATCAGTATTACTCTAGTAATGTTCTCAAGATAGCCGGGGCAACTCACTATGTATAGTAACTGACTACGGTCTGGATGACTGGGGTTTGATCCCTGGCAGGGGCAGAGGACTTTTCCTCTAGCCTCTGCACCCTGAGACCCACCCAGCCCCCTGTCCAATGGGTACCAGGGTTGCTTTCCGGGGGTATAATGCGGTCAGGGTGTGATGCTGACCACTCACCCCTATCAAGTGCCAGGGTTAAGAATGAGTAGGAGCTATGTCTTCTCTAACTCCAAGTTCCTACATGGTGTGTAGTATGTCAGCTTTACTTTACTTCACTTTACATATCCCAAGGCAATTTCTGGCTGGACAAACAAGATCAGACCATCATGCAAAATGAAGATAAAAAATTTCAGATGTCTAGAAAACAAAAGAATGCTAAGGGACTTAGTCATGAAGAGTCACAACTGGAAAAGAAACTATACAATTTAAATGCAGATATTGCAGCTGTTACAAAACATAAAGCACCTGTAAAGTAAAGTTTGTCCCACTATACGCCATGTAGGCGCTTGGGGTGAGTGGAGGGATAGCTCCTCTCTTCCTTGACCTCGGCACTAGATAGGGGTGAGGGGTCAGCATCACGCCCCGGCCGGCTTTACCCCCGGGAAAGGACCCCGGTACCCACTGTAGAGGAGGCTGGGTGGGCCCCAGAGCAGAGGCGGGAGGAAAAATCCTCTGCCCCTGTCGGGGATCGAACCCCGGTCGTCCAGCCCGTAGCTAGTCACTATACTGACTGAGCTATCCCGGCTCATATAAAGCACCTGTACAAAGCTTATATATAGACACAGCACTACAAACAGAAAGTGCAGGAATTCAAAACAAAACATCAATAATAATAAGCCAATGGGGGCAAGGATTTCATCCTTTTTCACTCACACTCTTTATCAATGGCAGAGCACAAAAGTGGCAAAATGCCTCAAAAATAACTACCATAACATACTGCTTCACCAACAACTTTATTATTTGTGGACAACCAGGTTATGACACAGAAATCAGAAGATCACTTAAAGAAAGGTATAAACAATTAATTATTTTGGCAAACACTGCAGCTGTCATCTTCAGGGTAAATGTGTAGCAGCTGTGAACCAACCGAAAACCTAATCACAAGTGCAGGACATTATCCCTAGCCAGGTCAGACCATTTCTGCATACAAAATGCATTGCTGAAATGGCACATGATGCTTTATAAACTATAACTGGCTATATGCTGATACTAACAGGACTGTTGTCTTGGCTGAAGGCCTTGACATGTTCAGACAACAGGCTATTGCTACTGATGGGAGAATAATCCCATCACATAACTTGTTCTTTATGAAATGAACTTTGGTTAGATGAATGTTTGGGAGTTAAACCCAGAAGGGTTGGGATCGCTTTGGCTGATGGCCTCTGCAACTTGGGGGGGGGGGATCATTTTGGCTCAAGGCCTCCATAACTGGAAAGGCAGGTCATGCCCTTTTTGAATGATACCCTGGCATGTGCCTTACAACTGAGGAAAAACACTGAAAACCTCAGTCAACATAGCCAAGCAGTTGGACATCAACCCCAGTTATGACCTGGAATGGGACATTCTGAGGGGCAGGAAAATTTTACACAATATAATTTATGCTCAAGTATATTAATTAACATAGCATTACTGACATTTCTGTAAGTAAGGACTGCCAGATGTCTTGTACATATCTTACACACGAATATTTGAATATTGGCCCTTTCTTGTTTAAATTTCTTGCTATCAATTAATTTAGTTTTTCAATTAAAACTGGTATAAGTCAACAATGTGATGGGTGACTTATCACTACAGTCTCTTATGGACCTTACAAAAAGCAGAATCATGTCTGTGGCAAATAAAAGAAAATTGGACAGGTTACAGTAAACATGTTCAGATGCTGGAACAACAGTACTAAGGAAAGGATGAACAATTACCTGATGTGATTAACAATATTATTTTCTCTTGGGGCTACAGACAGCAACAGCAGTGAATCGACAATGAACAGTAGCAATAGTAACAATGGCTTAGATTCTGATCTTACCGTCACATCAGAAATGGCACAACCACTTGTGGAACAAAATTATTGTGAGGTAAATATTTTTTTCAGAATGGATAGTAGCATACAATTTTTGACCAGGATGTATATATGTCTCTGTCACACAGCATGACATCACCCATCACCCTGCATACCAGCCACAGCTTTTCATCTCCAGAATGGTAAGTACTTGCTGTGTCCAACTTAGTCATCTTTTTTAGGTACAGCCTCAGCTGGCCTGCTAAGCATCAGTCCACCTCAGTTACCTGCGAGTGACTTGAGTTAGCCCTTGGTTGGTTCAAGTGCCTTCCAAGATATCAAACAAAGGAATTTACGTGTCAGCTAACTTCAAGTCAAAACTCTCACTTGGTACTTTGATGTGGTCACTGATGAATGGAATCCCCAAATCCTCACAAATTTTCATGTTACCAGCATACCAAGGTGCATTAGTCAAAACGCAAAGACACTTGAATTGCAACACTTACAGCTTCTGGACATGGCTAAGATCAGTGGATCTCTAAATCAAATATATGTAATCCATCACAGGACAGATGAGCTGCAGCACAACATTTCCGCTTCTCCTGTTGCCACATCCAAGAAAACTATGCCAGTTAGCCCCTTCTCGTCAGTTATTCTATTGCCTCCTTCAACAAGGTGGGCAGCTGCAGTGTCATGCTATGTCAGGGTCAAAACCCAAACTGCTCACCACACAGTAACCTGCAGTTGTTTACGTCCTGAAGGATCCTAGTGAGTAGATTCTTCACAAAGACCTTGCCAACAATGGGTCTATAGAAACAAAGCTGCAAGGGGTCCTTTCCTGGCTTCAGAATGGATACCATGCAAACGTTTTGTGCTGGTGGCAAGTACTGACTATGGAGGACAGCATTAAACACTTCTGTGAGATATGTTAGCATGTGCTTTGGTAAAGGTTTCAGAATGCTGTTTGAAATACTGATTGGGCCCAGACCTTTGCCAATCTTGAGCCCCCAATGGCTGGTAGGACCTCATTTCAAGTGCATCACCTCAGTAAATACTGGGTCACTGGCAAAAAATGAGCCTCAAGGCTATCGGCCAGGGCACCTGCTTTCTTGGAGTCTGAGAGAGCTAGTCTTCCATAACAACAGGTTCAGTGTATTGCTCTATGATTCCTCCACTCATTCAGCTGATATATCCTGAACTTCTGAAAGTGATTGGTCCCCTGCGATTTTACACTGTCTCATCAGTCAGTTCTTCAAGTGTGTTTCATCCTGACAAGACAAGACAAGACTGCAGGTCAGCACAGGGTTGACATTTCGAGCAGATACTGCAGAGGCCTCTTAGATGGTGCTGGTGAGCAATCAATATACTTCTCAACTGCCTCCTCACTCGTTACAGTGGGATTTTCTGGGAGTCTGTCTTCTAGCTTAGAATGCTTCCCAGTCCATTCATGTGAAATCAGGGTGACCCAGTATGGATTAAAAGGATGACTGACATGTTATAAATCAAGACAGAATAAATGGTCAGATGCACTGGTGTGATGAAATCCTTAACAACCACTATATCAAGGATGCCAGGGGTCATATGTTTTGGGAATCTGGCCCATAGATTAAGCAAGAGTACCTGTTGGTATACTGACACAGCAGTGAAACCCTGGCTGTGACCAGCCTAGAATTCTATTCCATGTGCTTTACATTGAGATCCTACACTCAGACAGGTCTAACTTGATTATCCAGTTTAAAGTACCTGCCACAAAAGCATTAAGCATTTCAATGAGTCAGCCATAAGGCTTTTCCCTTATTTGTTCTAGGCTGCAAAGCTATACTCGACTATGAAAATAATGACTTGGGGACAGCTTGTGGTAAGCTTCCCCTGTTGGGAGGGAGGACGACATGGAGAAAAGACAACATGTCAACTCTATGCAGGTTTGGGCAGGAAGGTTCTCCAGAAGATCAGCAATCCCCTCAAGTGGTCACAAACTCAGTGAAAGCAAAAGAGATGGGTCAATCTGCTTGGAACAGGGTGGTTCGGATTCCACTACTGACACCTCAGGATAAGCAGCATTACAGTGGCAGCCTGCTGCTTGGTCCATCTTACCATGTTACATGAAACAGAGATTGAGCTGGGTGTAGCTTGAGCCTTGACAATGCATCCCCTCCAGACACATATTCCAGCCACAGCTAAGATTCTCCTGTTCAAGAGATGGGTTAGATGGGGCCATTTTTAGTGCTGGCAAGTGTGTGGAGACACAGTTTTGTATTCCATACATGTATAGTGAAAACAGTAGATGGCAAGTTGGACCTGAGGGTGTTGACTGGTGGAGCTGAAGAATGGGCTGCTAACCAATTGGAGCATGTTGTTGAGAAAATGAGGTGGCAGAAAATTTTTAAGAACATATGGTGAGAAAAGGAGGTGACAACAGAAGTTCTGGTGACTATGCCAATCAAGAAATGATTCACAATGACTGTATGGAAAGGAGACAAGGTGATTTTATTGACCATTAAGTTCTGAGAGGACGTATTGCAGAAAGAGTCCTTTGGAGAGCCCAGTGATGAAATAAAAGAAAAAAAAGTCTGGGGATCAAGGGAAGTGAAAAGAAAGTCTTTGGGGATGGAGTGGGTGTTTTATCCCTTCAGCAACAAATGTTATTTAATGATAAGTGTAGCAAGAGCTCTAAAATTATGGTGAGGGACACAAGGACAGGATAATAGGAACAGATGTATCAGATAACTATGTAATGGTTAAGATTTAAGCCAATGCTGAAAAACAGTTTTCTTTCAAATATATCAATTAATATCCACTTGAAGTTTGACAGACATTTGATAGGAATTTTGTAAAGACATTGATGGTGATGGTGAGATTACATTTTGTCAGTTCTCCAGGTTTTTCAGCTTTGTGGAATTGGCCCAATGTTGCAAACAAGTTTTCAATTATCAGCACCCAAAATAAATAAAACCAAGATATTAAAAGTGATTTACTGAACTACTTTAAACTAGAATTTTGTAGTGAAAGTTCCACCACACCAATGTAATTATTATACTGGCAAAACTTGACCTTTAGCCTCATTCACATAAATGTGAAGTTGGCATTATTGTATAATTCTTCTCTGAAGGTTTGGGTAACAACAAATGTGATATAGCTGAACAGTTGGGGGCTAAAGGAAATTAATATGGCACTTTTTCTCACTAGGTATTCAGTTCATCATTCACCTGCAAGAACAGGGCAAACCTCCAACTCATCCTACAGGAATTAGAAATTTTGAACAAATGTTTCAAAGTGAACAAAGATTGATATCCCATACCCAACAGCACATATCGTGAACTCAAGATACCTAAAAGTATACAATTACACGCTAGACATAACACACGAACATAATTCAAACACAGTCTAAAGGAACTGTGTCGATTCCATAAATGGGGCAAATGTTATCATACAGCTGTCATTCTGAACAAATTAAAAGTGACCAATGTAAGATAGGTAAACAGTTTACCAGACTGCCATGTTTCAAAGGCTTGAGTGCTCGGTACCCAAACCCAATCCACTGCCCTTCCATATAAGCAGTAACATATATAACTTCCGTATTACTGACACACGAAATACGATATGGCCACATTCCTGTTCTGAAAAATATTACCTTGTCTCAGTTTGTTCTTTTGATGAAGTAGGATGTTCTGCACTAGAAGTTTCAGCAACTTCCACATCCATTATGTAGATTTATGGAAATTATTAGGTTATAAATGTTTTCACTGTGGGAAAATAAATAAACAAATGTCTAACTATATCTCATAGCCACACATTTAAGTCGCCATTATTGTTACTGTAGAAACTTGCGGTAATAATTTGAACTAATGAGTGAACGGCGAGTCACGACCGTAGATTACCTGTATCCAACATCCTGATCTAGGTTATGTATGCTCCTAATACACACGAATTACATACATCTATCATACTCGGTGACGAAAATAAATAGATTTTTTTCTAAAAAATTTACATCAAATACATGGTAAGGCTACAAGTCAGAGTGGAATAAAATGAGATAATTAGGTCTTGCGAGGGAGTTGAGAAATTTTACAGTGCAGTGATAAGTACTGTTGAAAGACTTTTTCACCCAAAAATCCGAAACTGAACTCTGCTCATATGCAATTTTCCACACGTCCGAACATAACACGCCGGGAAACGAGGATCCTTAAGGAATTGTTATTTTCTCTGGTAAAGAAAGGAAAGACATGGCTTGCAGATAGATCACCTCTGAGACATTTCACCTATGCTATATTTTAACCTACATTAGATTTAGAATTTATTTCCATTCTACAGATCCTTTACCGAAACGACGTAAAATACAAATAAGGTACAGTTTCGACGATTCCATGACAGTTTACAGGCATTTTATCTAAAGATTTGAGGTTTTCACGGCGGTGAGTCCGAAAAAGGTGGTCTTATCTGTTGTTGTGCCGTGTAGTCTGGTAGAAGTTTACCAACGTTTCAGAGGTCTTAATGCCTCCATCATCAGGGCGACTTCTACCAGACTACACAACGCAACAACCAAGAAGACAACCATTTTTAACTATTTTATATGTTTGCCATTACACCTACAGGATCTTTGTTTATGCTTCACCTACAAGATACTCACATGTGTCATTTGGTGCCTACCTTCTCCTGTTTACACGTGTATTGATTTTCACAGAACCGATGAAAATTTCGACCTG